TTTATTGAAAAGCTGCTTCTTTACATTTTAAATGGCAAAGGTTGTCAGTATTTAAATACGGACTTTTCAAAGTTTTAGGGCTTAAGGAGTGATTTTTTTTTTTTTCTGTTTGATTTCCGTGAATGCATGTTGCAGCAGGCTTAATGATCTGCTACTTCCAGCAGGCATGGGATGCTTCATTTCATTAGAGCTAACGACCTTGCATTGCGCTGAGTGCCATTGATCCTGCATTTCATTATTATAACGCACCAGAGATCAGCCAGGCTACGTCAGAGTAGTTGCCACGTTCAGTGATAGAGGTTCCTTACTTCAAGTACAGGTAACTTGGAACCCAGCAGAATATTTAAGTGAAATGAACTCTGAGCTGATGGTATTCAAAATGCGTCCTGAAATTGTGAGTAAATTCTTTATCAGATGGCCTTTTTAAAAGGACGTGAAAGCGTGTGAAGTTCCTCTGCCTGCAGGAAGGGTACCGAACGGCACGTACGATGAAGCTTGCAGCCGCTGCCGCACCGTCAGTGCTCCTCCGGGTTGGGGAGAGAACAGCCTCTTCACATCTGGAAACTGCCACTTCTGCATGCACCTATTAGGGTGTAGTTTCTTTTTTCTGCGGGTGTGAACATTTGCTTGCTAAACGCTGGGTATTGCTCCGAGAGAAGACTGATACACTGCGGTCAGTGGCTCGCTACCCTGTTGCTATTCAGGCTGATCCAGGAGTGAGGTCTCGGGAGGTTCTGCCTGTGCTGAAATGCACTGTAACAGTAGCAGAGGTGGCAGCTAGCATTTTGGGTGAACAGTGAATGAGGCCATTAATAACTGGTTACACTGATGTGAATCTCTCCCAACAAATGTGCATCATTAAAACACCTTTGGAGAAATGTGTCATGCATATAATTAAATACCTGTTTTGCTAACTCTTAATTTAATTAATGCAAAGCAAAGACGGCAGCACAAATTAATTTAGTTGGAAATGGCTTTTTTCTCAGTGGACTGAAGGGAGGTTTTCTGGAGGCATGGTACCAGATGCCCTCGGAGGTGTGCAGGTGAACTCCAGGACTGATTGACACAGTTTTTTGACGGCAATGACCATGACATCCTCATAGCAGTACGTATGCCACGTATCAGCTCACTTTTTTCCCTTTGTGAGAGCAAAAAGGGAGGCCAGCTAGAAGGCAGTTTCTTTGGGAGGACAGTGTAGCTACTTTTCAGCTCTACCCTGAGAGGCATTTGGTAGCGACCCCGGTAAATCCAGGTTCAGGCAGGTGAATGAAAAGAAATTCCTGTAACAAAAGATCTTTCTATGTCTCCTCTTGGTTTTTCCTTCTGTACCTTGATCTCTCTCACTCAGTTCGTGTCCGTGTTTTTCCTCCTTAGATATAACTTTCTGGTAACTGCTCATCTGCTTGAAATATTCATTCTTCTTAACTTTCTTTAAAGCCTTCCTTGTAGATGATCTTCTTTTGGTTTGACCTCTTTCCTAACCTTGTGTATTCTTTTTTCCCCCACCCCCTTCCTTTTTGATCTTTTTTTATCTGCTGCTTAATCGCTTTCTCTTTCCCTTTCTGTCTTGCTTGGGATAAAACTGGAGAACAGACTGTGTTCACTGTGCAAGTGCAGGTGACTTGTCAGCCCAACGTTGTAGGAAGCAGGGAATCTGTTGTTGCTTCCCGCAGAACCATCTGAGCACCAGAAGAATTAAAACCACAAATAATCTTTCAGTCTTCCAAAAAAGCTAGTTATTGCTTTTGCAGTTCTCATTTCAGCTTAAGTAAAAATAAATGCATGTATGAATGAAGAAGCTGCTGTGCGGTACAACATGGAGCCTGGCTAGTCCTGCCACGTCTCTGCAGTTTCAGGATCGGCTTTTTTCTAGCTGATGTTTCCTTCAAGAGGGAAAACCAACCTCCTTTATCAGGCAGGGTTCTTTGGTACTGAGTCTGAGTAGAGGGCTGGTGTGGATGGGAGTGGGCTGTGGGTGATGGGCAGGCTGCCCTGGGCCGGTGGTGTTGCGGGAGAGGAGGATGTGTTGCTCAGGCAGGCACTTTGGGTCCAATGTTGTGTGCTCAGCAGAGACCGGTCTTGAGCGGTGACTCGGACTGGTGCTGGATGGCACTGGGGGGTGCAGGGTCCTGCAGGAGGGACTGGGAATCGAGGAGGATTTGTGGCTTGGAGCTCCCCATGGCACTGCCTGGTGCTGGTGCTCCTCTGGGGCTACGTGAGGTGACTTTCCCCCATACCCATCAGATGAGATGAGTGTGAATATGAAGCTGACTTGGTCTGTCTTTGGTAGCCTGAACGCTCCTGCCTACCTATCCAACACTGATCTTTAGCATCATCCAGCTTTTGCAGTTAGAGCCAGTGCTTTTAACAGTGCCTTTTGTGTTCACTTACTGAAAAATGGGGTCTGTTTCGCAGGAAATTTGTTTACACCTGCCGCAGTCATCATCTTTGCTCTTCCTTTGCCCCTTTCACTGGAGCTGCGGTCGTTGAAACTGCAGAATCTCCTTTCATTCCCCAGCATCCTCGGCGTGGGACGTGATTGCAATAGAGCAGCTGAGGAGAGGATGCAGGGTGTGAGACCCACTTAGAAATGCTAGCCAGATGTGGACAGCTCGAGGAGGAGGTGATACAGTTTGGCTCTGGAAAGACTCAAGTGCAAGGGGTTGTTATTTCTACTTCTCCTTTTCGAGCTGTTCGTTTGAGGGTTTACAAAACAGCCCTCAGAGTACCTCTGTGCACGTACAGATGCACCAAAGCAGCTCAGCAACGGTGGGAGAGTCCCCTCGCCGTTGCTGTTAGCAGGGGGTCGAGAGCACTCGCTGCAGGGCTTGCCAGGGTGGTGCTTTCAGCTCTTCGGAGGGGATAAATGGTGGTCTCCTTGTTGAGCTGGGGGGTTTTGGGCGTTTTGGGACCACTAAAACCACGAGTGGCTTTTTGGGGGTGACCCATGTGGTGCGTGAGCTGGTGGGCTCATGCTGCACCAGAGGAATGCGGGGAAGCCGGGGCGAGGGGAGGTGCTAGGACAGGAGGATTTGCAATGCTGCTGTTCCAAGCGTTGTGCTCAGCCTGCTCTCTGGTGGTAGCTGGTGTAGCAGAGATGACCTTTGATAAACGTGAAGCGTTTCATTTGATTTGGATAGTTGTGGTTGCTCAGCTTCGTAGAGCGACACTTCATAGCAGAGTCGTCGACTCAGCTGCTCTTGCTTTTGTTCCCTTTCCTCTGTGCAAAATTCGCAGGTTAAAAATCAAATCACAGCAGCTTCAGGACGAGAATTGCCAACAAAGCCTGCTTCCCAGCAGCTCTCCCCAGTGCATGTTCTCCAGCATCTGATAAGGGCTGAGGTCTGTTGCTCTTTTTTTTCAGACTGGGGAGACTAGCAGGAGAGCAGACAGAAGAGGCACCTGCTGGCACGAAACATGGAAGAAAAAACCACCTTTGAGATCTTCAGTTAAATTTGGCTGAAAACAAGCCAGCAGGTTCCAAAACTATTGCCAGGGTCGAGATACAGCAAGGCACTTAAAGACTACTTGATCATAATCTCTTACTGCCTCGGCGGGGCTAGAGCCTGCAGAATCCAGGGCAGGCAGGAGAGCTCCGGCAGAGGTGGAGCATCGCTGCTCTGCGCTGGTGAACGTGGGGATGCTCTTTATTTAGATCAACTAGTGGCAGCATGCAAACTGACTTTTTTGTGCGAAGCTATTGTGAGGAAGTGCGTGCTTGGTAAGTCGTTCAAAGGAGGCAGGCCAGTCGTGCTTGTAGAGAGCCTGGGAGAGAAGGTCATGATGAGTGCTTCTGCTTTTCAGTCCTGAAAATAGCCAAGGGATGTTTGCTGTCACAAGAGTGGTCGGTTTTGACGATTTTCGCTGGGAAAAAAAGGAAGAATGGGAGAAGTAGTTTTGGAGAAGGATGTTGGGACCCTGTCCTGTCTTTGCTGACGTTCCACTAGTAAAAGGTCAACCCCATTTGCATTTTCTAGGTAAACTGTTAATGTGTTGGATATGTCTTCCAGCAGTATTTGGTTGCTGTATTTCTTACCAGGATTTGTTGTAACAATACCCGAGGGATGTGACAGTCATACATGTGGTTTCTTTGTCCCGAAGACACCTTTGGGACTGAAGTGCCTGAAGGAGGACATAGCGTGTAGGTGTGACCATTTGCTGTTGAGGATGGAGTTAGCTCGTGAGGCTTTTCTGTTGTACGAGACCTGATCAGGTAGCTCTGAGACTTCAGAGCAAGCAGGCACCCTTTGTTTTAATCCCATTTCCATCCCTGTGACGGTGGAAGTGGGACATCGTTTTAGCATTGTACAGAATTCTGTATCTCTATTTCTTGTGGCTAGTAAAGTATTAATTTTACCCAAGAACACAACATACGCAAAGTCTTTGAATTCCAGCATTTATGACTCTGATGTTTAGAGGCAATTTAAGCAGATTTGGGGGTTCTTTTTTTCCATGTGAATTGCTGTGGTCTAGTCAAGATGAGTTTTAGTAGCAGCAACGGTGTGGAAGTATTGTCTTCCCACAATTAGAGGTTAAGAGTTGACAGCAAATGAGCCAAGGATTGTAATTAAAAAACAGAGTAATTCTTTGTGCGTGGTGAAAACTAAGGAATAAAACCTCATGGTGTAATGTACCTGTCACTATTGGATGCAAATAAGAGATAATGTACCTTGCAGTGAAAGACGTTTGGATTGTGTGCATTTTGCCGAGCATGGGAGCAATTCTTCCTATTCTGTAGCAGCTGAAGTTTTTGTTCAGATGGTACTGATGCTCTTTTAGAAAGCTTTTACCTCTTTGCTTCCTGAGGTCTGACATGGAAGAGAAAAGCTTCAATAGGCACCAGCTGCTCAATGGTCCCTGTCTTTTCAGGGCATCGCTCGCTTTTCTCTATTCCCAATTAAAATATGTGTTAAACTTAGCTTTTGTTTGAAGCAGCCAGCGCTGTGGTATTTAATGTGAAAGAAATGTGCTCCTCACCTTTTCTCTTTCTTTTGTTGCAGGGTCAGCATTCTTCAGGGGAGGACATGGAGATCTCTGACGACGAGACCAACCCTGCACCCATCACCAGTGCAGAATGTGCCAAAACCATTGTGGTGAACTCCTCCGTCAGCAACACAGCTGTGATGGCCCCATCGATTCCCCCCATGCCTCCACCCCCGCCACCTCCACCCACTCACCCCGCCGTCACCGTCCCCCCGCCTCCGCTCCCGGCCCCTCCTGGGGTCCCCCCGCCTCATATCTTGCCTCCGCTTCCTCCGTTCCATCCTGGCATGTTCCCTGTCATGCAAGTGGATATGATAAGTGTCTTGGGCAACCAGTGGGGTGGCATGCCGATGTCCTTCCAGATGCAAACTCAGATGCTGAGCCGCATGATGCAGGCACAAAACACATACCAGTATCCGCCTTTCATGACGGGCCGGATGCAGTTTGTGAATCTTCCGCCCTACCGCCCTTTCTCGATGGGAGCAGCTCTTGCTCGTGGACAGCAGTGGCCACCACTTCCCAAGTTTGACCCCTCGGTTCCACCGCCGGGTTATGAGCCGAAGAAGGAAGATCCTCACAAAGCCACTGTGGATGGCGTCCTCCTGGTCATAGTGAAGGAACTAAAGGCTATCATGAAAAGGGACCTGAACCGCAAGATGGTTGAAGTGGTCGCGTTTCGGGCATTTGATGACTGGTGGGACAAGAAGGAACGTCTAGCAAAGGTAGGCTTTCACATACTCTGTGCTGGATCCTGGGGAGAACTGTTCGTAGTGCTTATGGCCAGGGCACGGGCAAGCAGGGATCTGGAACTGTCTTTAAAAAAACCCCACAACCCTAAAGTTTTATGGTGACTAAAACAGAAACAAAAAATAAAGCGCTGGAATAGCTTTGCCATGAGAAACCACATTGCTTGAGGCTGCTGAAATTAAATGGGAGGCATGTATGTCCATGTCACTTGTCTGTGTCCGTGCCTCCCCACGGGGCTGGTCTTTGTGCCGAGGCAGGCATCAGGAGCATGTGTGGGGAGCAGCAGACCTCAGCCCGCAAGTATCTGGAAGGTGCTCCATCACTACAGGCTCCTGCCTCGGAACAGGTTAGCACCTGCGTATTAAACCTGACTTGTTTCCGTGGTGTCACGCCATGTACGCAGGCATTTCGTGCTGCTTTGCCAGCAGAGCAAACGCAGGCCGGGAATTTCAGTCCTTCCTAGTCATTGATGGAGGTACCCTGTGCAGTTACCTCTGAACACGTGTGGAGCCGTAAATGCTCACTTAGGAGTGAACATTCATTTCAGTGTGGGCCTGAGGAAGCAGCGTGTAGTGCTCAGCGTCATCCCTCCACTTTGGGGTGGATCTCCTCCTCCTCATCCCCTCCTGTGTTGGGGCCACCTCAGGGCAGCCCTTCCTGTGCGAGGGACTGAGCGCAGCTTGTGCCTTGCGAGGGTGTCGGAGAGTGTGTTCATCTTGGGCAGCCTGCGTGGCTGCTCTGCTCATCTCAACACGATGCACTGGCCATGCTGGGGCACGATCCGGGAGGGATCTGCAAACGAGCTGCTTTTCCAGCTGTGTTTCGGAGGGCCATAATGTCCTTCCACGGGTGTCTCTGAGGACGGGCATCGCTGCTGCCCCACGGCAGGGTCACGGGCTAGGTGACCTCCCGAGTGTCACTGCAGCTCCGTGGTGCATGTTTGCAGGCTTTCCCTGCCGGGGGGACTCACACGCTCCCGTTAAAGCCGAAGTCCCTGGGGCAGTGGTCATAGGACAAGGCTAGATGCTCCTACAGACAGAGAGCCCGTACACATGGTAGAGTCCTCTCCGCTGTGTTCCTTTTGGGAAGGCCTTCAAGAACGCCCCAAAATGCCTTAACCCCAACAGGGCAGGGTTATTCACTCCCCCCGCCCCAATCTCCTTCCCATTTTCCCCTCAGTGCAGTAGTTCCAGGGCCTGAAATTTAAAAAGTTTAGATGATTTTTTTGTGTGTGTGTGTGTTTGTGTGGTCTGGGGCACTGCTGGCTGCCTCCAGGAAGGGGTTTGCAGATGGAAACGACCCTGAGATCAGGAGACAAATTTGCAAGGGCTTCTCATGTCTAAGAGGCGTCTAACTTTAGCTCCAAAAAACTAAAGTCAGATGCCACAGGACTGTCTGAAACCACCAAGCTGCTGTTTTGTGTTCCCCGCTTTGTGTGATGAGATCTGTGGAGATTTCCAGTTCTCTGGGCTCCTCCCCCCTCCCCAGTGCTTGTACGCGACAGCAATTAACTCAAAACCTGAACATTGGCCAAATACATGAGGAGTTCTGGGGATTAGTTAAGAAAACAGCTTTGCATGAATCATCGGATCCTTTCTCAGCTGATGTAAAGTGTACCTCGGCCAGCAAGCAGCCCTGTGATCTAGTATGTGGTGAATTTGTCTCTACCAAAGAAAAGCTGGCATTATAGAAAGGTTCATGCAAGCTTCAAAATTACTGTTACAGTGAGTTATTGTAAAACAAAACAAACAAACGAAAAACCCCAAACAAACAAACCAAAAAAACCCCAGCACCACAACCTGCAGCTACATCTTCTGTTTCAGATGCCAGTTTTCAGAGCAGTACCTGCACCACCTGCTTTTGTAACCCGTTTGCGTGTTCACTCTAGCGCCTGGGAGAGCTCCTTGGCTTTCCAGAGAGGCTGGTAATGCTGCTGCTTGACAGCTGTTTTATGACAGTGTAATTTGCTGTGGCTTAGAGCTGGCTGGCGTAATGTGTGGCGAGAAACCCGGTCCCTCTCCTCCTGACTAAGGCTCAGAGCTTCTGCCTCCTACCCACGAGTATGTGCTGACCAGTTTGGAGGAGGCCCCTGAGTTTCCAGAGCAGTGAAGGGAAACGGATCCAGCAAATAGTTGCAAAAGCAGCAGCTGAAGTACCAAAGAAATTGTTTTACACCAGGCATCCGCAGTGAAGAAGCAGAAGCAAGTCAAGGCAAATCTGCGACTGCTTGGGCTCTTTTATATCTCAAGCTATGGCTGCATTTAGCATGTTCCCTCCTCACCTGGAATTTGTAACCCACTTTGGGAAGGGAAGCTGACTGTACCACAGCAATTTGCCACGGTCCTTGCGAAAGGTTATTTTGGATGTGAGCAGCCTAATTGAAAATATGAAATTGCTGCACGGAAAAACTCTTGTGCTTTCTGTCTGGGAACTGAAATGCCAGAACCGCTGCTGCTTCAGCGCACTGCCTGGAGAAGCCTCTGTCGGTCTACGCGTTAGTGTCGCATGCAGAAAAATCACACAGGTTTCAGAGTCTCCTTGCTGCTAGAACTGGGCACTCCCTGACACTGATGCAGGACAGGATTCCTTCTCAGCCAGAAGCTCCCTGCTGTTGACAAAGGAAAACAAAATAGGAGTCATTCAGCTTAAACTGTACCTTCCTGTTGCTGGTGTCTTTATGCACGTGTGAGGATGAGCTGACTGGGCTCCTTCGTGGCAGCTGGAGGTCAGTTCCCCACGTGCTTTGCCATCACACTGATTTTTCTGGAATGGACCAAGAACTCCAGGCACTGTTTGAGCTGAAACGATCGTCCAAAGCAGGCTCTGCATCGCTGTTTCCTCCCTCTGCATGGTTTTAATTGGAGCTCCTCATGGTTTTAATTGGAGCTCCTCATATTTTTCCTTACTGATTAATAGTAGTGAAAGAAATTATATTATTTTCAGAGCTTTGAAAGTGTAAATAATACAACATATGTGCTTGTTTGCATCTTTTTTTCTTTAAAAATACATAAGGCACATTTGTTGGGAGAAATAATATCTTTTGATATCTCCCATCCTTGGACCATCTAGCTGCAGCAGCCCTCCTGTTATTTCACGGGAGAGATGAAAGCTCTGCTTTGGAAGCGCGTGAGCTCCACCGTATGCCAGTTCCTACAGCAGGTGTGTCCCTCTGTGGTCACAGGCTTTGTGGGTCTGCTGTCCGCTGTCTCTCTGACCTTCCCCAAGGGTACGAGCAGGAAGCCTTGAGGGTTTCTTTTTTCCCCTGACTGACCAACAATGTTCAAGTTTAGTAGGACAGCAAATATTGTCTACACGATGCTGCTGGAGGGCCCTGAACCTTCAATGGTGCACAAGAAGGCAACACACTCGTCACCTCCCATGCCTCAGTTTCTCTTCTCTCTCTGTTTTTTGGCTGCTACACTCCATCAAAGGAATTTACTAGGGCAGCTGATGACTGCCAAGAAGTATCATGCCATAGGTAAAGGCTGGGAAAGCTCAAGGGTAGAACTAGTGTCCTGGGTCTGGTGTAATGGAAAACGTATGGGATGAAAGCTGTAAAGGAGCATGTTGCTAGCGAAGGCAGCACGCACCATGGACCTCATCTGCTGGTGCTAGGGGAGGACTCTTCTGTGTTCCCGAATCTAGAGATAGGATTAGGTTTGAATACCTCAGTAAGATGCATTAAGCAGAGTGCCAGGAATAACCAGTCATCCCTGGCCACAGGGTGCCGGCTGCCTGGATCCTCTGCTTGGTATTCCCATTAGTCTTGTCCCTTATTAGCAGGAGAGCTGAGCTTACGTTTCCTCTTTGGTGATTAGAGCCAGCTCCGGCAAATTAGCTCTGTTAATGTCTGTAAGAGAAACCGACGTTTAGATGGTGGTGTGCCACTGGCTGATGCGAGTGAGCATTACCTCCAGTGCCCTTGGCTCCAGAAGAGCACGGCATGCTGCCGGGCACGGCACTCTGCCCTGCTCATCCACCTCTCCACAGCTGCAGAGGTTTGAATTCCTGCTCTTCCTTCATACCTCAGCTCTGCTGAAAAGAGGTTTATTTGTGGCTGAGCAGAGAGGAGGCTGTGCATCTACCTACTGAGTTTTGTAGACCCTTAGGTGTTTCACCTAAATATTTTGATTTTCCTGTTTCACAGGGCTGGAGACTTGTGACAGTGTTTCTGGACTTGGGCTGTGGTTGCTAAGTGAACACAGAGATGTGTGTGATTTTTGACTCACTATACTGTGTGTTTCACTAAAAAGCAAAAAGATCTTCCCAGCTAAAAGGTCTGAAGTTGCTTGCAATTATGTGGGTTAGCAAATGAAGGTAGACAACATAGAGTTACGCTAACTTGCCTAAAGCATACTAGAGTTACTTGTAAGAGGTATATGTGTAGCTGTGACTAGACAATGGGCTCCTGCAGTGTTTGGGAATTCAGGGGTGGTGGCGTGTGAGGGTGGAGGTGTATTCCAGCTCCATAGCTTCCGTTCAGAGTTCCGGACCTTCCTACAGTAGCTGCTCCTTGGCCCTTGGTAGATCCCACCTTGGTGGAGGAATGTGTTCCCTTGGGCTGTTGAGTCCTGGGCTCATGTCTGCACCTTTTTTTCCCCTTTCTTCTCTCCCTTTTACAACCTTTGCTTCTAGCATCTGTGATAGATTCTGGCCATTCTGAAGGATGGTCACTGTGGTCCCCTCACCAGGCACTGGGGAGACCTGAAGTGAGCTGTGGGGACTAAAGAGTCTGTTCGTTTCCCTTGTCCTCTTTTGTGAAGTGCTTTGGCCTATGTTAAGCTGGATGTGAAGTAAACTGAGATTGTGTTTTAAAACACTCGGTGGAGAAAGCAAGAGTGTCTGCTCTGCTACCTGTCAGTGTGATGGCTCCAAATGCAACATCACTTGGTGTCCTATGCCAAGCCACTGCTCTGGGAGTCCCAGCAGGTTTGTCTCCAGCAGTTTTAGTGCCCTGTGCAGAGAAAACAGCTTCTTAAAATACAAAGCGGAGAAGGATTCTCAGAGGTGGAAAGGTCTCGTTATCAAGAAGAGCTCCTGCAGCTTCTCCCTTTCAAGTGTTTGTGGTCATATGGTGCATCTTCAGATGCCCTTGCCTGCAGAGAACCTGATGCCTGGGCAAGGCAGTGATATTTCACAAACCTCAACTGTCTAAATGGTTTCCAGAGTTTGTGTGCTCCCCAGGAAACTTTCCCTCTCAAGTATGCTTTCTCTGTTGCAGGCCTCTCTCACTCCAGTGAAGTCTGGAGGAGAACTGGAGGAAAAACCAAAGCCGAAGGATCGAATCGCATCTTGTCTTCTGGAGAACTGGAACAAAGGAGAAGGCCTGGGATATGAGGGAATTGGCTTAGGCATTGGGTTACGAGGGGCCATCCGGTTGCCATCCTTCAAGGTAAAAACAGAGATCTGTCTTCATTGCACTAACATTCCCTAAAGGAGCATTAGGAGGACAGACCTCTCTAGGTGTGTGCCCCAAAGCCCTCCAGGCTGGTTAGCTGTGCTGTGTTCGCTGAGGAATTTGCTTCTGACAGCATTGCCCCTAACCCACCAGTACACTGTCAGACAAGGATCCTCTTCCCCAGCCTTAGCTTTTCATCTACCACTTGTGTGAGTTGTCTCTGAAGGATCTTCCTGCTCTGCAGGGTAAATGGGAAACAGCAGGATTGTAAAAATATCCTTATGCTCGTAGTGCTTTACACCATTATTTTTTTGCTTAGAATGTCTTGCAGTTTGGCAGCTGCGCCTCACCTGAAGTTTGGTTAAAAGTGTTCTCTGCCTCATGTGAGTTTACAGGATCAGATTTGCAAGCATAGGGTCACCTATTTTAAGGAGTGTTGGCATAAAAAATGAAAAGTGTCTTAAAAAAAGCAAGGGGGATGGCAGAGGGCGAGGGAGGGTAGAAGGCTTCCCTGAAATTAGGGTTTTGAATGCACAGAGGTGCAAGTAGAGGTTTGGGATGAGAGATTCTGCAGTCTTCGTTTAGAATAAAACTTGCTCTGAGGTTCTTTAAGATGTCCTACGCTCAGGCTGTCTTTCTGTTCTGCTCCATCTCAGACACAGGCATTTGCCAGGAGTTTTCTCTGTCAGCTTCAAAGTACTGGGTGATGACATGCACCATGCTGGTACCCAGAGTGTTTTGATGCAAATTGAAGGGGTAGAATTTCATTCACAGTGAAATTCTGTTTGCAAGCAAATAAAGGGATCAAGAGCTGGGGAAGTGGCCCTTGGTTTCTGGGTGTAAGTCACCAGGGCAAGTAAAGCAGTAGTGATTTGCTTAAGAAGTTGATTTCTGCTGTTTCTAAACTTTCAGAAATGCAAATTGTGTCTTTTGTTCAGGTGAAACGAAAGGAGCCACCTGAAGCTGCCTCAGCAGGAGATCAGAAGAGAATCCGGCCCTCTACTTCTGTCGATGATGAAGATGAAGGTTTGCGAAGCACATTTGTTTGAAACACAGGAGCAGATGCGAACCACATGCAAGCTGAATTCTTTTAAACTTCACAGCAGTGTGCTCACTTACAGTTAGACGCAGAGTCACGGATCTGAGCCAAAGCCCCGCTTCCCGCAAAACTCTGATCAGCTGGGAGATGTCTCCTCTGGATTCAGTTATCTTAAACTCGCTGGTGGGAAATTTAAGACCCAGATTTTATGAATAACTCATAACCTATTTTAGTTCTGCTGATGCAGAGCTGGTCACCCGGTAGAGGGAGCTCAGATGAGTTCATGGGCTGTTCCAGGGGCATGCTTGCAGCTCACTGGGTACGTTGTGGGAGAAAGCACGTAAGAGGCAGTTTGCCCTGTGTTTGATTTTTAAAAACAAACCAAAGTTATTTGCCAGATAAGTCTATATGAAAATATTTTATCATTTTTTCCTGGAAGCAGGGAAGAGTAGAGGTAAGACAAAGCTTTGAATACCCTTTGTTTTGCACAAAAAAATGGTTTCAAGTTTGTTGTGCCATAAAGTTGATTCAGACTAACAACTGATTTTGAAGCCAAAGTACGGAAGCAGGGTTTTGTAAAGCACTTACATAAAACAAAAAGGCATTAAATTCAGGTTACCTGTTCTAATCTCAGTTGTGCCATGTCTCCTGGCTGCTCTGCCTGTAGCTTGTCAGCTTTGGCCACATGCATTTTGCCATCCTCGCCATTTCAACACCCGGCACCAAGTCTTGCCCTCACTTGCACTGTGAAATTAGTAAAATTCGCTGTGAGTGAGCGAATGGGGACTCGCACACCGCATGGGCCCATTGCTGCTAACTTTGATCTTCCCAAAGGAAAAGTTTCCATGATCTTGTCAGCTCTTTCCTTCCCTTGCAAGGTATTTGATGGCAATTTCCTTCTTGGTTTTGCTCACCAGAGTCGGAGAGGGACAGGGATGCTTCCGATACGACATCTGACCTGTCAAAGAAGGATGCTGAAGCAGTGGGGCTGAGGCGGCGACCAGCAAGGCCGCTGGAGCTCGACAGCGAGGGAGAAGAGGGAGATGAGACGTCAGGGAAAG